ATGGTTTTGGTCAGGATGGTATTCTTCTTATTTCTGGCCATCAGCGCACCCACACCGCTTAAGGTACCCCAGCAGTTAATGAGAGAGTGGGGTGCCCGCAACACGTACAATAAATGGTTGCAAATGGCAGAAATGGTAGCCTATTCTGCAAACCGAACCAATTGCACGGTCTGCACTCTGGGACCTACAGATGCTTTGGGAGGAATACCCCTCCTCCCTGTGCCTTGGAATGAGTCCTCAGTTACGGCCCCGATTTTGGGTTCTGCCGGATTTTGTGCCGCGTTAAATTTGACGGGAGGAGCCTGTGGCTTTAACATTTCTGACCATGGTGAAGCTATTCAAAATAGCTGAGTGACTGAGTGGCTTCCGAACCTTGGGTGGTTTAGAGGACTTCTACTGATGCTACTGGACCTCTTGCTGATTTTGCTTCTTCTCTGCTCCTGTATACCCTGCTTATTGCAATGTTTACAAAATATGATGCATATAATGTCGCAAATGATTCGGCCCCAGATTATAGCACTGACACGAGAATACCGGCCAGTGCCTTGGGACGAGCCGGAAGGCTGTCCAAAAGAAGAGGGAATGAAGGAATGGGTTTCCAAAATCTAAAATCTGACTGTGCAGGCAGTCTGAAACGGGCCCCAAAATCCTCATTTGAATTAGCTAAAAAGCATTAACTTGAGCACTTGAGCAAATGCATAACAAGAACACAGCTGTATAAACAAAGCTCTCTCCTTTATCAGTCCGTGACGCCTAATGAATGGCCTTGTCAGTTCCAAAGTGGAGCAGGGATGACACATCTGGGTCTTATCTTACCCCCTGACCAAACTGACGCACAGACCTTGTCAGCCCCCCGGGAACGGTGCCAGGAGTACTCTTAGAGTTGGTGACCTTCTTACCCCAAGATAAGGAATACAGGAACAGGAACACCCTTTTATGGTCAAGAGTACAGGAACAGGAAACCCTTTTATGGTTAAAAGTACAGGAACAGGAACATCTGTGATGTCAACTTACGTGTATAAGCTTACGTGTCTGGATTCCTGGGGAAGGGGGGAGAGGGTGCCTGGAGGATATATATATACTGTGTGCAATTTCTCTTGCTTTTGTGCTTGCTGTGAACCGATTCATGCAGTGCCTTCTGCTGTCCGGAGAGCAGAATAAACTCTTTCTCTGAACCAAACCTCGGTGTCATTTGACTCCTTCCTCCCTGTTCTGGGAGCAACGCTCACCCTACCAATTGGTAAAGTCAAATAAGGCTACAAAACGATTTAAAAAAAAAACAAAAACCCACCTTAGACTGAGTTTTAGCACACATGGAAAACTGAAAACAAATCCTTCTTTCCTGATGGCTGTAATGCAACTGAAAAAGATTTTCCATCCCAAAGCATTTCATTTTAAAAATCCAATTTAAATATAAAAAAATCCGATTTCAATCCAAAAAAATTGATTTAAATTTTAAAAATCCAATTGAAATCCAAAAAATCCAATTTAAATTTTTCAAAAATCTGATTTCTTTTGTTTTTTTCATAAAAACATTGATTTTTATTAACCTTGCGTGCCCATTAAGAGAAAAAATGAGGGGAGAACAGGAACTCCGCCCCCATGACACTAAGGGCCAGGCTGGCATGGGCAGGCAGGAAAGGACTTAAGCAAAATGCCAATGTCAACATGGGGGGGGGGGCGCCGTCAAAGGAGACCCCTGAAGTGGGGGGGGGTGTCGCGAGGTGCCCTTGCGAGGGGGTGAGAGGAGTTGGAGGAGGGGTGTCACTGTTGGGGGGGTTGTGGAGTGCCATTGCGAGGGGGGTGAGAAGGGGAGGAGCAGCCGGCCCTACCCCTTCCTCTCTCTCTGCCCCTCCCTCTCCTTGCCCTCTCCCTGCCCCCTCTCACCCATCTTCTCTCGAAGCCCCCTCGGGGCGGCGGCGGCAAGGAATTTGGGGCCCGCGGCGGCGCGGTTGCCCTCCGCCATCTTCAGACCCCTGAGGCAGCGGCGGTGTCGGGGTGGGAGGGCGGAAGCCCCACTCGCAGGCGCACACTCCGTTCCTCCCAGACTCCCACTCGGGCCGCCAAGCGTAACGAGCCAACTTCGTCGGACTGACTGGAGGCGCGGCGTATGCACCCTTGAGCATCCTCCGTCCATCAAGGGCGCCTCAAGGGAGGGAGGGAGCGGCGCACACTCGAGCCCCATCCCCGCCCCTTGGAGCGGCGCGAGGCCCCCTTTCCTGCCAAAATGTACCACGCCGACTGCTGCGGACTGACTGGAGCATGCACGGGGGAGGGAAAGAGGGAGGCCGCCTTCAGCATCCCTCGTGCATCAGGCAGGTGGCATGCGCGACTGACTCCGCCCCTGGCAGTGCCTTAAGGGAGGCAGGGATTGAGCGCCGTGCATGTGCTCCCCCTTACGGTCTTCGAGCGGCCCCTCAAGGGATGGAGCGAGCGGGAACGCGCATTCCCCCTCAGCGCCGCGCTCACTTGCCCCGCCCCCCGGAGCGGCGGGTTCGAATCCCCCCATTTCCCTGCCAAAATTCACCTCAGACCCGTGAAATTGAAAACCGAAAAAAAGGCCACGTCCCGTTACGAGGCGAGTCGCGCGTCACTTCTTTGCCCCCTGGAGGAGGAGGACCCGTGAGTGTACACGTCGCGTCATCCTCACATGCAAAGCTCACAGCTTCCCCTTTGGGGCTCCTGGGAACTGTAGTTTACTCCTTGGCGCGCTACACCCAGGGCCAGATTGAAGTTTGATGAGTGAGCACTCAGGGCTGATTTCCTTCAGAATGGAGAGGTTGGATCTTCTTGCAATCCATGGGACTCTATTATTACAGTGGTACCTCGGGATGCGAACGGGACGGAACATAAGATGCGACAGTGCGTCTGCCGCGTTTCGCTGCTTCCGCACATGCGTGACGTCACTTTGAGCACTCCGTTACTTCTCGACCCGAAAGTGCTCAACCTGAAGCGTATTTATCCCGAGGTATGACTGTATTATTTTTATTATTAGCTGACGGCCTGTTCAAACCTTGATTGGTCCCTGGGTGGGGTATAAATTAATAATAATAATTATTAATTTATACCCCACCCAGGACGGGATTTAGGTTTGATCAGGCCATCAGCTAATAATAATAATAATAATAATAATAATAATAATAATAATAATAATTTATACCCCCACCCAGGGCCCTATCAAGGTTTGAACAGGCCCTCAGCTAATAAATAAATAATAATAATAATAATAATAATAATAATAATAATATATCCCCCACTCAGGGGCGGATTGAGGTTTGATGAGGCCCTAAGCTACTGAAGGTAATGGGTCCCTCGATATGTCCAGCTGTCCTTTGTCCACAACAAATTGTCACTTTTTTGTGTGTTGAATATATGCTATATATGGTAATTGATGGACCTCATATGTATCTAAAGCCATTTGCACATCACAAATACGAGCAGACACAACACAAAACACTGTTGCTGCATGTAGGTTGTTTTTTTAATTTTTTTATCTTATATTTTGGAAAGGTACATCCAGTTTTCCCCCCCTTTAAATTTTTATGGAGCCCCCAAGAGAGCGGGGCCCTAAGCAAGAGCTTGTTGAGCTTCTACGACAATCCGGCACTGGTGTACTACAAACTTACTGTACGCTTGTGAAACATGGACCACTTATCAACGCCATCTCCATTTGGACCACTGCAACGTTTTGTGAATAATAATAATAATAATAATAATGATTTATTCCCCCGCCCATCTGGCTGAGTTTCCCCAGCCACTCTGGGTGGCTCCCAACAGAGTTTAAAAAACAATACAGCATTAAATATTAAAAACTTCCCTAAACAGGGCTGCCTTCAGATGCCTTTTAAAAATAGGATAGCTGCTTATTTCCTTGACATCTGACAGGAGGGTGTTCCACAGGGCGGGCGCCACCACCGAGAAGGCCCTCTGTCTGGTTCCTTTGTAACCTCACTTCTCGCAATAAGGGAACCGCCAGAAGGCCCTCGGCGCTGGATCTCAGTGTCCGGGTTGAACGATGGGGGTGGAGACGCTCCTGCGGATATACTGGACCAAGGACATTGAGGGCTTTCAAGGTCAGCACCGACACTTTGAATTGTGCCCGGAAATGTACTGGGAGCCAATGCAGATCTCTCAGGACTGGTGTTATGTGGTCCCGGCAGTCACTCTCAGTGCCCAGTCTAGCTCCCGCATTCTGGATTAATTGCAGTTTCTGGGTCATCTTCAAAGGTAGCCCCACGTAGAGCACGTTGCAATAGTCCAAGCGGGAGATAACTAGAATCTTTGTATTTTTGTCCATTTACTGTATTTATTTACCCCCGAATTGAACTATAAAATGAGAGAATGGTTTGGATTTGATATCCCGCTTTATCACTACCCGAAGGAGTCTAACAGCGGCTAACATTCTCCTTTCCCTTCCTCCCCCACAACAAACACTCTGTGAGGTGAGTGGGGCTGAGAGACTTCAAAGAAGTGTGACTAGCCCAAGGTCACCCAGCAGCTGCATGTGGAGGAGAGGATATGCAAACACAGTTCACCAGATTACAAATCTACCGCTCTTAACCACTACACCCCTAAACATTTTTTAAGGGAAAAAAGCACTGATGATTATTATCATCATCAGTGCTGTTTTTCTGGGGGGACACAGGGGTACTTACGCATACCCCTAACATTTTGTAAATCTTTGTACTTTTGTTCACTTACTGTACTTATTTCCCCCCATTTGACCTATAAAATGGTGATTTTCTTGAATCAAAATGAGAGTACCCCTTAACCTTTTCTTAAAGAAGAAAAAAAGCCCTGGTAATAGTAATATCTTAAGGCAGCCCTGTTCAGGAAAGTTTTTAATGACTGACGTTTTAATGTATTTTAAATCTTTGTTGGAAGCCGTCCAGAGTGGCTGGGGAAACCCAGCCAGATGGGTGGGGTATAAATAAATTATTATTAATTATTGTTGTTGAAACAAAATTTTAAAAAAATTCCTTCCAGTAGCACCTTAGAGACCAAGTAAGTTTGTTATTGGTACGAGCTCCCGTATGCATGCACACTTCTTCAGATGCCTATACCTTCAGATACCTATCTGAAGAAGTGTGCATGCACACGAAAGCTCATACCAATAACAAACTTAGCTGGTCTCTAAGGTGCTACTGGAAGGATTTTTTTTTTTTTTTTAATATGGCAGACCCCACATGGCTACCTACCTGTAACTAGTATTATTATTGTTGTTGTTATTGCTATGGTGATGAATTATTATGGGCTGGTTCCTTTGCCAAGCCGCCTCTCGTTTTGAAGAATGAATCAAATAACCGTCCTAATAAGCAAACTCAATGAAACCTATTGCCAAAAAAAGAGAGGAAACATTCCAAGTCAGTGATTTTCATTTTTATTTCTCCAACACATATCTGGAAACAAAAGCCGTTACAGTGAGTAAGCAGAAAGAAACACAATGGGAGGAAAGACCCATTCTTCCCTCACCATTTAAAAAACTACACACAGTGGTTAACCTTCCCAGGAAATCACCTTCTGGTGGAAAGCGAAAGCTCAGCTCGACTCCCCAATCTCCAGACCGAAAGCAAAAGCTCGACTCCCCAATCTCTGAACAGAAAGTGAAAGCTTGACTCCCTAGTTTACTCCCAAGTAGATGCATAGCCAGCTGCCGCTTCTCCGCCAGCAGCGAAATTCAGAATTCTTCACCGCGAAAAGAAAGCGCTGGGCTCGGGGGCGACTAAATGATTCTCGCCTATTTTATTATCTATATATAGATAATCAATATAATTCAGCCCATAATAAGCCCAAACAAAGAGAACTGGTGCTGCAAAGGTTGAAGATTTAACCTCAGGGCTCGGGACCAATGCTTCTTCCAATATTATCTATATACAGATTGACATAATCCAGCCCATATTAAGCCCAAACGAAGGGAACTGGCACCGCAAAGATGGAAGATTTAACCTCAGGGCTTGGACGACTAAATGCTTCTTGCCAATATTATCTATATATAGATAATCAATATAATCCAGCCCATATTAAGCCAAAACGAAGAGAACTGCAAAGGTTTAAGCACAGCTCAGGGCTACATACCTGAGGGTCAAATTCGGAATATAAGGAAAGGGGCATTAGGCCGGCCACAGACAGCAATTATTGGCACGGATCCATGTGCGGCACCACCAAAAGCAGAGAAAATGCGCCGCTCTGAATCTTTTCGGTGTCAGCCAGGGAAGCAATTTGGAAAATAACTTTGGATGCAACCCATCGGATGCACGTTTTGCCCTCCGATCAATCATTTTTGTGGGCTTAAAAGCTGGCCAGCAACGCTTCAGATGTGAAAAAGGAGGTTTGCATTTGACCGTGATCTTTCCAAAAAGCTCGTCGAAGTGGAGGCGGAAACCCATACTTACCTGGAAGAGCTGCATTTGACAAAGTCAAAACACCAGTGGCCCGGCACATAATGGTTCCATCAACCGCGAAGCGCACATCCGAATGCGCCAACCTGAGCAAAAACCAACGCTCTTTTATTTCATTTTCAGCATTGGCGGCAGTGCGCAGGCCTGCACCTCTGTACATAATTTGACACTGCCCTGGAAGGACGCGCAGTTTGGCACCGGGTTGCTATTTCCCCCCACTTTACGCCTTAAATTGCGTTTGCTTTTTTGGCGCAATCGACCTGGCATGAATTAAAGCTGAAAAAGCCAAAACTTTAGGTCTTTTGCTTTTTCGGCCCAGTTGACCCAGCATGAATTGAAGCTGAGAAAACCAAATCTTTACGTCTTATATCGCGTTTGCTTTTTTGACGCAGTCGACCCAGCATGAATTGAAGCCGAAAAAACCAAAACCAAGGGCAGCCCCGGAGAGAAGTCCAACGTTAAGAAAGCAGATGTTGGTTCGAGTGGTTTATAAAACCCGTAAAAGCTTCGCTGCTGCTGGCGCCAAATTTTCCCTCCCGCCGTCCTTGGAAGAAGGATGTGGACTTAAAATGCCGTAAAAAGAGAGCCACCGACGGAGCAAGAGGAATTCCTAAAAAGGTTCTCTCGAAAAGCTCCAGATTCGCGTAGGGAGAAGGGAAAAAAAAAAGAGATTCGTTCACGGGAAATCGGAATCGACTGTCAATCCCTTTGTGCCTTCCCATGGCAAGAAGATCCGGAAAAGGTGGGGTTCGGGGGGGGTGTCAGAAATTGCTGGCCTCCCCGTCATGCAAGAGTGAGCCTCCGGTCGCCACACAAATCACATCCTTGACTCCCGCTTCCCTCTGCTCCGGAAGGAGGTATGTATCCTGAAGGATTCATGTCTCTCGCACAGCTCCGGATCTCGAGGCCGATTCGCCGGGCTTGAGGATGTGGTCCGGTTTGTGGCCGGCGGAGAAGTGGTCCCACATCAGGAGGTAGAGCCGCTCCAGTTCCAGTGTGTACTGCTTGGTGTTGAAGAGGGGGCTGGATATCCTCTGCTTCCACACCTTGCCGCGGATGTTCTTCAGGCTACGGGAGAAAAGTATTTGTTTATTAATTATTAATTCATTTATTAATCAACATTTCATTTATTTTCCTGAAAGGAAATGAAAAAAAGGAGGGATCACAACCAAATTAAATGGTAATTTTGGGTCGACCTCCCTCCACTCCCCCTCTTGGTTCCACGTCCATAAAACCTTATATGTTGTAAAAAGTAGACCTTCCTCCAGTTGTCCATATTAAGAGGATACCAGCAAGGTTGAAGCTTTCTGTAAAACAAGGATTTTACGATTCCAAAAAGGAATCCCCCTCTTGGTTCCATTCAAATATACTTGTCCATAAAACCTTATATCCTTGTTATTGCAAAAAGGAAAGCTTCCCCAGGTTGTCTGTATTCAGAGGGCGCCAGCAAGGTGGAACCTTTCTGTAAAACAAGGATTTTAGGATTCCAAAACGGAATCCCCCTCTCGGTTCCATTCTGATATACTTGCTCACACATGTCCATAAAACTTTATATGTTTATCATTGCAATATAATTTCATAGTTATCGGTCTGTGTATTTCTAATATTAAAACCATATCAGTCATTTTTTATATAACTGTAAAAACGACTCTGAAAATTTATTATTCCGAAAAGGAAACCTTCCTCTGGTTGGCAATATTATTAGGATGCCAGCAAGGCTGAACCTTTCTGTAAAAAGGGATTTTATGACTCCAAAAGGAATCCGCATCTTTGTTCCATTCTAATATACTTGTTCATGCGCGCCCATGCAATCTTATATACTTAACCAATTTTAAATCCTTCTTCATCTTATGGCAAAGTCACACAGCTGTTCAAGGCCCAAGAGCCCTGCTTTTCCTCAGTGCCAACCCTCAACCAAAGGCCTAGGCTGCCCTCTGGTGCCCACTTACCTGGGAGTAAACCCCATTCAACACAAAGGAACTTATCTGTCAGTAGATATGTGTATCGTATAGTTAACTGTACAGTGAATTCTCAATGAGTGCCTGTCTTTAGCACCTGCAGAGTAGCAGACATGCTCTTTGCAAAAAGCAGGGCTCTTGGGCCTTTAACAGCTGTACAACAGGCAAACATTCAACAGGTGAAGCATTTCTTAGCAGTGGCTTTTGAGCGCCCTGGAACTCGGGACCTTTCAGCTCCCGGATGCCGCAAACCTGGAAGTGACTGTTCCGCTTTGCATGTGTTCTTTGGGAACCCGAACATCCGACGGGGCCTCCGATTGGCTGCAGGAGCTTCCTGTAGCCTTTCAGAAGCAGTGCTTGGGTTCCAAACATTTCGAAAGCAAAACAGACTTTTGGAACAGATTCCAAGGTACGACTATGAGGAGAGCTTCGCCGTGAATCTACTCTTTCTAATTTGTGTGATGCCACCCCCCCCGGCCTCCATAGTGTTCCAAAACCGAGGATGCCAGCAAAGACGAACCTTTCTGTAAAACAGGTACCACTGTTCTTAAACTTAACCCGTTCTGGAAGTCTGTTCCAAAACCAAAGCGTTCCAAAACCAAGGTGCACTTTCCCAAGGAGAGTAATGCAAAACGGATTAATCCGTTCCAGACTTTTGAAAACAACCCCTCAAACAGCCATTGAACATGAATTTTACTCTCTAATGAGACCATCGATCCATAAAATGAAAGCAATTAACTAATGTACCGCAGTCGCACAATCAATCCATCAGTTGCTGAATTGGGCTCCCCACAGTCACAAAAACAAAAGAAAAAGACGCACAAAAATGCAAAAAAACACAGCAAAAACAGACAGACCTCAGTGAAACACTCAAAACGGAAGCGTAACACTAGAAAAAAAAGTGTGGCACTCAAAATGGAATTGCGGGAGACTTCCGGGTTGGTGCCTCTGGCAATGGCAGATTTCCTCCGATCGGGAGGAACCCGCTCCGCGAAAAACAGGGTCTGAACCGCCACGGCGAGGCGGAGACCCATCAAAAACCACAGGCGGGAGAAGCCTGTGGACGTGGGATTCGGCTGGCACCTTTGCGCCTCCCCTACTCGCGGGGAAACCCTGTTTTGGGGATCCGGAGCGACGTGGGGTGAGTGGCGCGGTGCTATAAATCGACTGCTTTTTTCACGGAGTGAAGCCGCATTGCTGTTGCCGGGGAGCGCTGACTTTTTCCTGTGGACAATTGGATTTTAAACAACTACTCGTGAGTAAATCAGAAAATTGGATTTTTAAATACTTTAATTCGGCACTGAAGCGGGAGGTCACAAACAGGAAGTCCGCCTTCCGTTTTTGTAAATAGACTGAAGCAAAGACGTTACAAGTAAAGCCTTTGAAAGTTTTTGGCAAAGGATTAAATTTCCACCGGTTTAAAGTTACAAAACCCCCTTGGGAAGCAGGAGAAGAGGGGGAAATTTTGGATCTAGTGAGCCTGCAGGAGAGAGTGAAGAAATCAGATTACCACTGCTCTGAACCTGGGAACGGGCTGCCAGATGATGATTGAAGAGAGTGCTTTTGACAGAACGGATTTGACAGTTAGCTAAACAAGAGTAAGATACTGTTTCCTTTTTTTAAAAAAAATGATATTTATTAAAGTTTCCGATAAAAAAAGGCACATCAGTAAAAAAGAATTTAAAAGCAAAAAGAAAAATACACAATACAAAAATACACAATACAAAATACAAAAAAGAAAAGAAAAGAAAAAACAGTTAAAAACAATACCA